AATTAGGTTAGATGGATTAACAGAAAGAAAGCAAAGCATTGTGTTCTGCACGGCTTGTCTTATAGGATTTTTTACAAAGTATTATTTGAAGTTTCCAAATGAATTTTAACATTAAATATTGCCTGTCTGACAGACTGTAAATATAAATAACTGTCAAGTAACAATGCTAACATCTCTATTTGTAAAAGTTCTTCAGCTTCTAACATACTTGGTTTTGAATAGACTAAAGTATCAATCCCATAAATAAGAGTATGAGATTCATTTGACTATGAACATATTTCATAAGTGATAGTCAAACTATGCGATTTCTGCTATGGCTGGGCTTTGTTAATTTTAACACAATATATTCCATTAAATACTGTCTATAGTTTACGCGAGTAGTACACATTTATGTCGCAAAGCATCCGAAACGTTGGGCCGAAGTTAAAGATCATTTTCAAATAAGTTTAACTAATATATCGCGTTTTAAACCGTTAAAGTGTTTTATTTAAATTTATTCCATTGTCATAATATGCCTGACCAATTTTTACTTTAAAATAGTTTGTATGGGTATTAGGTTTGTATACTTATTGAGTTGCCAGCGTCAAACAAATAATCTCGATACCACAATGTTAGCACCACAGGTGTTAGCTTTTACCGAAATCCGCTAAGTTACACGAGGTGTAAAAGAGTAACTAGTAACCATATTAGTATGAAGTTATTATTGGTAGAAGACAGATTTAGTACTTATTAACTGTCAATTGGTGAGATAAGACACTAACACAATTAACCTTGTATAAGGCTTCACGTTAGTTCTATAACACGACCTCCTGTTGGGATTTACATGAGTTATTAGGTCATAATGCAATCCGCATATAATATATATGGTAATATAATAATTACATGCTCATGCGCAGCACGAAAAGAACACAAAAAAAATAAAGGCTTAATTATAAATGTTTACGATTAGGTAACAAAGAGTCAGGAAAACATTTGAATATTTAAATTTGGTAGGTACTTAAGTAATTTTGTTTCATCGTTGGATTCTATTCACAGATATATTAAAGTCTTCTTTGCTATATTGGGATTCGAACCTAGGTTATGACATAGACTGTTACTTATTACGTCGATAGCAAAAAGTCCCACAAAATTCGATCTACATTCCCGGGATTTGAATCTGTCTCTCGCGCTAAGATCAACGGTATTTACTACATAACAAAATCCCAATAACTTGATCGTAGATCCCTTCATGCAATAACAGCGTAGTAATAGATGAACAAGATTAAACCGGTATTCTTAACCTTTCTACTTATAGGTCAGTGGTGAACTGAACGTGCTTCAAGATGCTTATTTGCAACAAAGTATTAGAAATATATAAACCTTTTATATTGACTGGGCACGGCCCGCGTTTTTACTCGTGTTTTATTTGATGCTTAGAAAAACATTGCTATAGTTCAACTCCTTGCCCGTAAGTGATGTAAAACGTAAACATAAATGTGTCTTTTTATGTGTTGCGTAGTAGGTATTCTTTGACAGTCTCATTGGTCTAATGGTATGTATTGCTAATAAGGAAAGGGTAGTATATCAGCACTAAATGAGCACTAAATTTTGAGATATAAAACGAGAGATTCTGTCGACTTGACCTTTCTAGCTTTACAGACTATACTTTTGAACGTCACACTTGTTAAAAACTAAAGGCTAAATTTCATTAGTATTTTTTTGATATAGATTATAACGTATTGGGCTCGAGGCCACGAATACTACCCGGAACATTTCAAAATATGGTTTCAACTTCGGCCCCATTCCAGTATTTATACTTGAATATTAACGTGAAACCTAAAACTGTGTCTAAAATGTTTTGACTGATATAAGGAGATAGTTAATTTCTCGCTCCAGCAAAACCCGTCTTAAGTTCTTCGCCTTGTACGGCGTACGTGTTGAATCATAAATGATTTACATGCGAGAGCCGTGTGATAATACGGTCACTGGGCATCGACCTGAATATTCCGCGTTCCAGACTCGACGACGCCTGCCGCATCTGACACGAGCAACTTAACAAGAGTGAAGTTCCGTTTCCCCCCCACAAGGGGGATTTTACTTGGGTTGACTAGATTTTATAACAGAGCAGGATAAACAATAACAGGTTGTTAAAATATCCCGGTCATATAATGACTTTTTTATAATAAAGGAGGATAGACAAGCATGGGGTCACGTGATGGTAGGTAAAATACCCCAGCCTATAGTATCTAAACAAGATGCGCTGTCGCCCTATTTTGGCTTTGGATATTCGGAAATCCACAGACTGAAACTGAAACGTGTTTAAACTTCACGGCTTTTTCATCGGTGGCCGGTGGTTCGTAACCCGGACGAAATTTCTATATTCCTACCACCCATTTAATATTCAGATTTCCCGACGAAGTAAAAAAAGGCCCGTCGAAATAAGATGTCCTGCTGTCAAGCTATCTTGGCGTTGGATATTCGGAAATGCATTGCAAATGACATCTTATCTGATAGTCACAGTGCAACAAATGCAAAAATGCACACGACTAAAAAAAGCCCTGTTGATTCACAAAAGCCTATTACCCCGGGCTTGACTTTTTACTGCCTCCCGAGTAATTTATTTCCAGCCAGTCCTTTTGAAAATAAAAAGTTAATGACGAAAGTTTTTTGGGCGTTCGCCAATATGAGACGTGCCATCAAACGACAGTCCTGTTGTAAAAAATGGCACATTGTATTCGTCGTTCGGAAGAAAGCCAAATAAGGTGCCTTTGGGCTGTACTTTGACTTACGTGAGAAGGAGGTATTCTGTAATTTTAATCATCCTCCTTTTTTTATCTAAATTACATCTATGAGATAAAAACTCTACGCTGTTCAAGGTACGATAAAGTAACAAAATAAAAAAGTACACAAGAAAACCTTACTTACCTACTTTTAAAGCCCAAATAACATTTGTGAGTAATAACATAATATTATTGTAGCTAAACTCTATCAAAAAAGGCAACACATAACAACTTGTAGTATTAATGTGAAACAAACAAAAAAAACAATACATAAATAAATATAACACTTAAAGGTATTGTTTTGTTTTAATTTTTATTCTATTTTGAAAACTATGATACCTGCTAAATTCATTGGTAAAAAATTTAAAAAACAAAAATATTTGTCACCCGACCTGGGATTCAAACCTAAACCCTCGGGTTCTTCAATCGAGTGTGCGAAACGTTAGTGCGACTAGTATTTGTCAGGGCTTCTTAGGGAGATACAAGATATAGAGCCTAAGTATGCAATAGTAGAATGTATGGACAGTTAGTTTGGATAGAGACGTCGTTTCCAGCTAGTAACGGTATGTTTATTGTCATCGTTGGACGTGGCCAGCGTGTCCAATGCACAACAAAGCTACTTGACTCACTATTATTGGCGTACTTAGGGAGATTATGTTACTTGTTCTTTTCAAGTGAATTTTCTTTTCATGTAATAAATTTGCAGTACGAAGTCTAAATATCAACGATAAACTAAACATCTGGGATTTTATTTGATGGCCAACTTGTTCTCTAGTTGATTAAAATTGTTGTTTACAAGTTTAAATTAAAAATGACTTAATCTATACTTATCTATAAAGCTGAAGAGCTTGTTTATTTGAACGCGTTAATCTCAGGAACTACCGGTTCAAATTGATTATTTTTGTAATTAATTTTGTGTTGGTAAGAGCATTTATCGAGGAAGGCTATAGGCTATAAAACAACCTCTTGTGACTAATACAAGCGAAGATACAGCGAGAAATGTAAAAAATATTCATCCTTTCATATATATATATATATACATATGAAAGTATGATTCCTCTTTAGATGATCTAAAAAAAGTCCGCCACGTCTATATGTCTATCTTTTAAGATTAACTTGCAAGAACGACGGAAAGAGACGCGTCCGACGTCGTGGGTACACGTGGGGACAGCTTAAGTTTATAAAGATAAAGGGGTTTGCAAAAACGAATTTGGATGCCAAATATAAATATTCTTAGCGGACGAAGACGCTGGCACAGCTAATAATATTATAAAGATTTATCTAAGAGAAGACATAAGCACTACATACAGACTCTGTCAACAACAAATTAAATTCATCTTAAATACTGTCTGTAATTTACGCGTAAGTACACATTTACGTAAAACACTAACGATTTAATTGGAAATTATTTTCACTACGGCCCGATGTTTCAGCTGGTGTAAAACGTATATATCGCGTTATAAACCGTTAAAGTGTTCTATTTATATTGATCTTAGTGAGGAACAAGCCAAACAAGTGTACTTATACAATATCAAAACTTTAGCACTGAATAAATTGAAGTAGGTACTTATTTTATTACTAATATAAGAATGAAGATGACAACGTCAAAGGCAAACGTTAACAGAAGAATATGCAAAAAGGTTTTTTAATGCAGAGATTAAAAATAGGTTAGCGAATGCACCATTGTGGTCTTAATTAAAGCGGATGCAACGTTAATGTGCACAGCTACAATAAATGTATGAAGTTTTGTATACAACATATTACTGTGTGTTACCATCTCTACAATTATAACTACAAAGATTGTGTCGACGAATGTCTCTAACTTAGGTACTCAGTCGTTGCCACCGATTGACTTACTGCTGGGTAGTTCTCCTCCCTCATAGAAGAAGAAGGTTTCAGAGTTTTGACCCACCGCGCTGCTCCATTTATTATTATTAATATATCATTTGATGTACTCTCCAAGGATCAGTTGATCGGTTCTAGACTCCCTTCTTTCGTAGAAAATTCTGTATTAACCGATAGAGAGTAAAACCCGGGAATTCTTTGCCTGCAGTCCAGTTCACTAACCACTGAGATCTTAAAAGTAGGAACAAACTAATGTTTTAGAAATTCAGAGAATATTATCTTAATTAGCATGAATTATCATTTATTCCGACTTTTCCCCAATTCTTATCGCATTGAGATGATTTTTAGACAACTGACTCATGAGAATATAATCATTTGTTCCAGATACATTCCATAATGTTCAACTTCATAAAGAAGTCGAGCGTTCTAGCGAGCGGAGACTCTACCAGCTACGAGGAACGAGACGGCGAGAAAGAGAGGAGGAAAAGGGAGAAGAAGGAAAGAAAAGAGAGGGAGAAACGGGAACGTATAGCGGCTGGCCTCGAAGAGCCTTTGAGATTAGAAGAGGTACGATATCAATTAAGAGTAATATAAAAGGAAGTGTTTATGAAAGGCAAAGAAATATTACAAACCTCCCACTTTATCTTTATAACTTCAAGCTGTTACCCACGACGTCGGTTGCGTCCCGTTTTCGCAAGTTAATCTTAAAAGATAGATATATAGTATCGTGGATTTTTTATTATATTATTTAAAGAGGAAACATTCCTCTATATTTATGTAGATCCATTTTACCCGTTTGTTCCACATTTCCCGCTCTTTATTCGCCTAAAGCCTTTGTCGATAAATGCTCTAAGCAACACAAAAATAATTTTTAAATTCGAACCAGTAATTCCCGAGATTAGCGCGTTCAAACGAACAAACTCTTCACCTTTATAAGCATAAAACTCTTGTCAAAAATATCTTAAATGAGCTTAAATCCATAGAACATGGTTTATTTGTCAACATTTGGATTAATGTCCAGACAGACATGTCTGGACATTAATCCAAATGTAAATAACTACTGTTATAAACCTAATGTCTGAAAGATCTCTAGAACGCATCTTATGCATATGTTACACCATTGTGGGTACCCAATACTTGTCTAGTCCGTCTTAAAAAGTATTTTAAATTTCGAATTACTGAAAACTGATATAACACGTTGATGGGTAATAAGACTTGTGACTTAAGCAATTAAGATTACGAGCGCCTCCCTTATTTACTTAATTATTGATTCTTTTGTACCATCATATCCGCTAACCGACGGTAATATGCAGCCGTATTTCAGTGTTTATTTTCTTGCTTTGTTTATGTCAACTCGTTTATGTCCAATGCGTTGTAATGCAACAAAACGTTTTGAGACTACGGCAAGTAGGTCGTGTGGATAACATTTTCGGTCATGGAAGATTTCTTTAAAACTGAGCGCAACAGAATTAAATGTATCGGGCTTAATCTTGGGACGTTGGTATGTTTTTTTTTATTTTATAATTTAAATGTGTCACTGAGCGATATAAAAATATATTTATTTACTTATTCAGCACTCACAAGTTATCTAATTTAGAAGCTATTAGATAGAGATTATTAATTAAAAGCGATAGTGATATTCAAATCCTTTATCTAGACATAGACAATCTTAACATAACTTGAAGACCTGTTAGCAAGTAATGGCTAATAATCAACGGGGCGTACGGGTCCAACATTAATCAAATCAATTTGTAATTTTTCTGGAAATCTGTATATTTAATGAGTAGGAATATCGAAGTTCCGTCCTGATCACGAACCACTGTCCACAGATATAAATCCCGTCAAGTTGATTCGCATTTCAGTCTGAATTTCCGTATATCCAAAGCTAAAATAGAGCTCCTTGTATAGATGTTATATGTCTGGGTGGGGTATTCCACGTATTTATCACCAAATGAATCCCTTACTTGTTTGTCCTCACCTATTAAAAATGATAAATTCATTAGTATTCGGAAAAAGTGCCAACATTTAATTTCTTACCATGTTTGTTTTTTTATATTGCCTTTTTTTTATAATTCCCATAGCATGCATAGATAGTATAATATTTTGATTCGAAATTTCTATTTATCTGTCGGCAAGTTAGAATTCCTCTTCAGCCACTCGTATATTTGCACGTAAACTAAAACAAGTTTCGCTTACATCGGCGTACACTTTCATTACTACGAATGCAGTTCGTAATCTCGATTAATTGATACGCGTTTTGCGAGTTTTTGTCAGATGAATCAATTTAAAAATAACTGTTCACTGTATTATACGAAGCTGAAAGTGTTATTGTAATTATATCATACTTGTTATAATGTTAGCAAATAAAACGCATCATAACGAGTTGGATTGTGTTTTTTACATTCAGATTTTAAAATACTTATATAATTTATAGTAATATAAATTATAAATCTGAATCAATTTCGAGCAAACAATAAATTGTTTTGGTTGGGCATGACACAAAAGTCTGATCACCGTCGTTGTAAACTAAATCAATCAATAAAATAAATTAAATCGGTCACAAAATGTGTTCGCCCCCATATGCTCCACAGGGCAAACGGGATTTCTCTTATGTGTGACCGCGATGTCCTGTAAATGTTATTTGCTATTATCACAATGTAACTTGAAAGTACCTTTAAAAGTAAACCAACAAAATAAATATGTGTGTGTACATTTAACTATGTCTTTGCAGGTTCGAAGGTCATTGAAACTCCGAGGACGCCGTAAAGAAAAGGAGAAATTGCCGTCAGGTATCACAGCCGACTATACCGCCTCTCTCTTTGCTCACCTCGAACACGACTCGAACTATTCCAACTACCCAATAATAAACACCTCGGGTTCAAACTCCAATCTAAGCGACGAAAATAACCATTTATCACCCGGATACCCCACCACACATACCTGGAACAAGAAAGATGTGCTACAATCTGACAGTTCAGAAACTTCGCTGAATTCGTTAAATAACCCCAACAATGCCAATAATAGTCCACGTCAAGCGCCAAATCTGCCGCCGATACCTCCACGACCCCCTAAAAGAGGCATTCTCAAGGGTCCAAGGTTGAGTAACACCAGCTCTAACTCCCAAGAAAGCAATGTTCATAACATAGACACCGTGGACTACACAAATGGCCAAGATTCCAATTTATTGGCGAGGAACACTCAACAAAATGAACTCATTTCTTACGGTATTCCTGCTTCTAAGAGTACATCATCCAGCGACGACATGCAGCACGTGCAAAATTTTACGAAAAAAGTAATTCATAGTCCCGTTGAAACTCAATTCAAAAATTATAAAAACAATGCAAACTCATCAGCCAATAGACAAGATGTGGAAGACACACCAAAGACGAATGGTAACAGCTACCTTGGAGTAACTTCCACCTCGCCTAGTGCTGACTCACTCACTGACACCACAAATTCTTCCTTTGCTACTCCGCCTTTTTCAACGTCACCCGTTGGCGAATCTCAAGGTTTTCACCGTTGGTCTAGGACCAGTACTTTTGACGATGTCTACTTACCATTACCGGCATTGACTCCCTTACATCTCCCTAAACCAAGGATACTGACCATACAACGCCAGAAGGCACCCAGAAATGATTTTGGGTTTAGTCTTCGTAGAGCTGTGATTCAGGAGAGGGTGTTTATTGGTGATATAAAGGAATTGTCGGAAAATACAATGGCTAACGATGAGAATAAATCAAATGGGAATGTAATTACCAGTAAATTGACGTATAAGGCAGTGATTCTGGCTGAGCCGGGGTCCTATCCTGGTTCAAGCGAAACCGGATTGATGCCAGGCGATAGGTTGATAGAAGTCAATGGAGTTAACGTGGAAGGAAAGAGTAGAGAAGAAGTGATTGATCTCATTAAAAGCAGTCAGGAATCTGTGACAGTGAAGGTGAGCTTTCTTAACATTTTGTAAAAGAACTATTATATATTCCGAATGTCCAATGTACAAATATATCTAGTGTTATATGGCTGGAGTATTTGACCTACCTTTAAGTGAGCCCAGTGCTCGTCTGTCTTTCTCTATCATAAAAAATATAAATATGTTTACCGTTTTAGATAATTCATAGTTGACAAGTAAAGCTTAAGTTCCTACATCAAATAGGCACACTATTTAATGTAGGGTTATTACCATATACTCCAAATACTTAAACATCTCAATATTATCTTATATAAGTAGCAAAGTGCGTAATACACGATCTATCCAGGTACAACCAGTGGCAGAATTGTGTGAGCTATCTCGGAGGCGCGCTGCAGATGGTGGCGCTGAAGTAGATCTCTCTGATAGCAACGTTAGAGGCGGGACCCTGAGCAGATCGGGCAGTAGGCGGTTTATCAGCACCCAGGTTAGTCATAGAATAAAGAGAAGTTCAAACGAAATATTGAAATCATAGCAATTTTTAAGCAATCGAGTGTTATAATTGTTTTTATAACATTTTCTTCACGACTTTCCGATTGTATTTTTTTAATGGACGTTAGGTTTCTATTATGAATTATTATTTACAATGTCATAGTTTAAAGTTTTGGTAATCGGTTATTTATATGCAGCCATATATAATTTATACACACACATATTGGGAACCCAAATGGAGGTTCAATAGCAGTCTGATAAGTTTCTAAAATCAATTTACGATTTTTCTAAAACATGTTAGACTTCGTACAGACCATCGTAACTTAATTACGAAATGGATGGTTGATGGCTCACAGATGGCCAAAAAAGCCGAAAATTTTGCTACGCTACTGAACATATATTATATACATTATAAGTTATTATAAAAATATTAATGTTCACGTATAATAATGACCATCATTCATGTTGGTATGATCTAGATTTAGACCAAGGTGAACGCTTCAGTGCATATAGCACTAATCATGGCGCATTATCATGTTATGAATGCATATCTTTAAAATTATTTTAATTAATATTCTAGAATAATAATAAAAAATATTGCTCCTCCACTGTGGCTCAGTGGACACACTTCCTATTCTCTTACTTTTGTTGGACTCGAGTAAGTTGAGAAGGAAGTATCAGAATGGAAAACAAAGAGCCTTCAAATATACACTAATATTATGAAAATAAATGATTTCTTTGCTCGCGATAAAAACCTTCAAATTAAAACTAAAAGGATGTCTTTGTATAATTAAAGGACTATTATACAAGTGGTGAAATAATCGTCTTTAAACAATAGAGATATAATTAAAAACCCACAATTCTTTCTTGTTACTAAGCTGTTGCACGCAAGATTTTGGGTTTGCATTCAGGTCGAATAACAGCATATACGATCGTAAGACTTGTGTTATGAATTTCGTAATTTCCATAATTGCAGTCTTAAAAGAAATTAAATTAATTACACCTGTATCGACTTGTATTATTTTTAAATAACCAAATATTAATAATGTAATAGTTCGTTAGTTATAAATACAAGTCATTTTATATTTTACTAGCTAACTTGGGAAATGTTCTTTTGCCATATAAATATTTCGACCACACAATAAAAACGGTTCTTGTAAGTTAATCTTAAAAATTGGCGTGTCGGTTACATATTTTTAAATTATTTCAAATAGAATAATTCTTTTACGCATAATTTTGGGTATCTTGAACCGTTTTCTCAGCGCACGCAACGGCAATCCTCTTAAGGCACAGTTTTTAAAATGTCAAACCTTAACCTTATAAAAATAAAATTATACGACTGTTAAAGTTTCTATTTGCAGTAGTTGACATAATATAGCAATACACAAGTTAGTTAGAAATTTATTTCCCCAATAAATCTTCAATCCCGTTAATTGTAGATAGGTTTATTGAGTTATCCCGGTTCCCCTAATGCAATCTATTGTGGTCACTAATAAGAATATACAGCAAGAATTGGGGTCTAACTGACCACAAATATTATCAATTTCTAGGTGAGCTTGCGAGTTCATGCGAAATGTTTATAAGGGTGTTATAACCTATAATATATTTTTGTAATAAATACAATTCCAATGATTTTTTTTGATATTATTTTATACTAGCTAACGTTATCTAACCTTATTTTGCCGTATTAAGTATTTTTACGAAATTTAATTCCCATAAAGCGGTTGTGAGTCAATCTTAACAGATATTGTTCCGGACATTTGTTAGATTATTTTAAAGAAAAATAATTCGCAACGCACGCAACGAAACCCTAAAAGACTAATAGTGTTTGAAAACTTTATTATTTTTTTAATGTTATTGCACATGAAGGCACTATATAAGTTTTTTTACCATTTGAGTAGAGCAACAGCACGGAACGCTGACGATGCCGGTTCAAGTCCTCCCAGAGTCGAAAATTTTTTCCATTTATTTTCGGTTTTTAAAAAACACTAATAAATTTCCCCGTCTTTTTTCACATTTTCCTCTGTCTCTTTGCTCCCATTGGTCGCAGTCTGATATTTTTGATGTTTTATAGCCTAAAGTCTTCCTCAATCAATGGCCTAACACACAAGTATTTTAAAACTCGAACGTTCCTGAGATTAGCGCATTCAAGTAAAAACATTCTATCGCTTCATAATATTAGTATATATTATTATATACAACTTAAAACTGCGTACGAATTACGACATCTCTCTATATAAATATCGCTAGCTTAGCTAATAATCTTTATTGTAGGACCATCTCTAAAGGCACAATAGGAAGAATGGAGGTTCCATTACTATTCGCAAAGGGCCTTGTTAACTGAGACACTAGGTATTCCACATAATATGCCTTCCATTCAATGCAGCCACTCGTGTTGGGGTGAAATACTTAGCTCCCTCATACATTAGTATTCGCTAGTCAGCTATACCTGTTACTAAGTATAACGCTTCGTGGACACTTTTTCTCGACGACAAGATGTAGGATGCGTTGTGTTAACCTTTGTGTTGGAAATCTAAAAGTAACTTCAAAGTTGTAAGGTTTTGAAATTTAACTACCAGGAGGAAGAACGATTTTTTTTTATAATAGTGGAGGACAGACAAGTAAAACACCCCAGCCATATAACATCTCAACAAGATGCGCTAATTTGGCTTTGGATATTCGAAAATCTTAAGACGGTGGTTCGTGAAACAGAGCTTCGATATTCCTACCACCAATTTAATATACCGATTTCCGACATGTTTCAGAAAAAATAAAAAATGATTAAAAAAATGGACCCAGTGGGGATCGAACCACGACCCGTCGACATTAATTAGCTGTACGCCAACGAGCTTGTCTAATTAAATTTATTGAAGAATATCACAGCTGGTTTAGACCTTAATGAATTGATTGTTTTTTAATTTCAAAAGACGACAAACTTGTCTTAGATAAAGAGCCCTTTAATTTTAATCAAAGTCGTTCAGGTCTCCAAATATTTTAAACGTAGAAGTTAACTATTAATTTAAAATGAATAAAAAATAATAATTAACTATTCGGAATTCAGGTTTGTAGCACGACAGATAGTAATATCAGTTTTGGTAACACAAAATAATGACCTCAATAGGCTGACTGCATTTGAATTACATTTAAAAATGCGACTCGTTTGAGATTTTAGACTGGATCTGTTTCATGGCTAGCTAGGTGCTTGTGCAAAATAATTGGCGGAATTTGTGTTTTTTTTTCTCCATCTGTTAGGTATTGGACAGATACGTGAATGGGACAGATCAAATTTGTTAATGGTCTTATTTTTTTACGAGCCTTTGTTCAGGTGGTAACGTTAATACACAATACGTTAAATACATTTTAGATAAAAAAAATATCACACTGGCAGAATTCGAAATCCGAAGAAATGTAAATTCTTAGAGGAATATTGTCTATATGCAAAATTAGCTAATTATATCTATATATAAATCGTAATACTAACACAAACAAAAATTTAAACTAGCGTATCGTATCTCAAAGGCTCAGCTCAAATAATCAATACCAGTAAAAAAGTAAGGAAGTTAGGCGGAAATTACAAAACGTATGGCCATCGAAGCATGTAATCAGTCTAGACGGGCTCATCTTCTAAACAGCGAATGAGGCTTCGCGTGACCTGCGCAGAATGGCACCTGCTGATTCCTACAGCGTTTAAAAAATTCACCAATGCTATTTACCAGAGAGTATAAAATATTTGGAATCTATAGTCATTTCACTAACTGCTGACAATTTTTTTTACGAAAGTCAATTATCATGTCTATGCGAAAAGGCGCGAAACGCACTCATTATAATGCGATTAAAGTATTTATTTATTTTTTGTTTGATTTTTTTTTCGGAGCTAACTACATTTTATTCTCCAAATTAAAAACCTTTAAAACATGTACACAATTTAATAAAACGAGTATTTATAGAAGAAGTTCACATTTGTTACAATGTTGTAAATAAAAAAAAACAAAAAAACTTTATTATTTTTTACATGTTATTGCACATGAAGGCACTATATAATTTGAAAATCTAAAATAAATTGAAATTTTCGACTCGGGCAGGACTTGAACCGGCATCGTCAGCGTTCCGTCAGAGCAACAGCACGGAACGCTGACGATGCCGGTTCAAGTCCTGCCCGAGTCGAAATTTTTTTCAATTTATTTTCGATTTTCAAAAAAAAACAATATAAAATAATACTTGGTTTACAAACCCACATCAGAGGGTATGTCTTAAAACTTATCAATGTTACTAATCATGTCGAATATAAATAAATATTAAAACAAACCTTAACTTTATGTACAGAGTATAATTTCATGTGGAAAACAACATATTTACAAAATACATATGTAATAACTATGATTTTTATAATTTGCATGATGCACTTCAAAATAAATATATACTACAATAATTTCAAGATCCTTTAATCTGGAAACTGACTAAAAATGGTGTAAAATAATAGTTACATGTGACTGCGCCCATTCGTTTAGTACCCAGCTAGAGATGTTTTACATTTAATGTAATTATGTCATTAAAAGTACAATTAAATTACACTTCATTTGGAAGATCATTCATCGGATAATGCAATATCCTATAGATGGCACAATTTAAAATTATTGCCTTTTTTTGCAGCCATAAAGTAAGTTTATTGTGGCTAAAGTCTTCATTTGTTTTCTGCATTGAGACTCAATGAACTAATTGTTTTTATAAATATGGTATAACAAACTTGGCTTGTGTGTTTAGAATTTATCAGTGCTTTAGTCTTTTGTTAACACACTAAAGTCTCCAATGTAAGAATGTTTGAATTTCCTTCTAAGGAGGTTAACATATAGGTGACGGTTTATTTAAGTCCCATATAGCATACAGAATGTGGTTCCCTAATCAGCTATTCACAACAGCACATTGATTGCTAATTTGTTTAGAAGATTGTCACCATGGCTTTCGTAATTCTTTAACATTACAATGGGCAATATTCAAAATTTCAGTCTAAATTCTTATCTGTCAATTGTTCTGTGAACTTTTATCAAAACTTTGCATTTCATACTTAGCTATCACATTGCAAACTTCCATTTTGACTTTAGGAATTAAATTAGGTTGTAACTTTTTAACACTGGCTGCCATACTTCTGAAGAACACATCAATTTCATTTGTATTCTCTTTCAGTATTTTCTCTATAAGATTGTCTATAACTTGAGATCTCTGGTTAGGAACTTTAGCCTCCTCTATTATTCTAACTATTTTAGGTTCATTTGTTATAATTGGTTTTGGTAAAATTTTTACTGGAGTTAGGTTTCTTGCCATTGGTATTGTCTTTTTTCTACCAGCATTCTTTCTTCCTATCTTCTTTGGTGGTTCACCGGTTAGGTCTGGAAATTTTATTTCCTGTTTTGGTTTTACTCTTAAGAAATTTGTATCGGTTTGTTCCTGTTTTGGTGCATCAACCACTGTTATCTGAAATGTAATAGTTTCAGAAATATATAATTGGGTAGTATTTTGTCGTCGTTAGGGATTAAATTACTTACATATACTTTACTTTATCATATAATCACTGATGTCTTAGAAAACATCTGTCTAATTTTAAGACTACTGTTATTTTTGTCTTACTCTAAGACACCAAGACTTAATAGTATGTAAAATACCTCATAGTATTCCTGATTGTCTGTAATGACTTGCTGTTCTGGACAAATTTCTCCTTGTTCCTCATCAATAGTGACTTCTTCAAAATTCTCCTCCTGTTCACTTGAACCATCAACAAGCACTGCATCCAAGAATTGTAGTTTCTCATATATGCCGTTTTTCATCTTGTGCGTTGTACCCAGACGTATGCTCCTCATGTACCTATCACGAAGGCCTCGCCAGCGTTTTTTACACTCTTCAACTGAAAGTCATATTTAAGTTTTGAAATATTAGTTGAGCTCCTACAAAATGTTTACTTTTAGTAAAATAATTGCCTTGTAAATTAATCTAATCACTTACATCAAAATAAATAAATGGTATAAATTACTTGATTAATTTCAAATGTACAAAAGATGTTATAATATAGGTAGTAGCAGTAAAACATAATTGAAGAAGCTAAAAGAGATCTAAACAGCTGATTGAAATCTATGATCATTAACATGCGTCTTTTTAAAAGCAAAACACAGTATCTTGACTATACGTTACTAAACCATCAAATTTTATACAGTAGGATCATATATTTAATGTTGCTAAAAGATTTAAACATGACAAAAACCTAACTTATTTTGTAAATATTTGGGATTGTATGACGCTAACTAATGCAGCACAATATAAACCAATCCAACATTGCTTTACCTGGTTTCAATAGAACTTGAGATATTTCTTGCCAAGTCGTTTCTCGGGCCAATATATTCTTCCGCGACGGATCAAGTAGGTTGTAGAGCAAAGGATGGGGCCGCACTAAGTCAGCTAGGGCCTCGTCCTTTTCAGAAGTCCACCCGATTGCATTTAATGGCATGTTTTGCTTGCGTACTAAGAATAGGAATGAGTTGCGTCGCTTCGGCAAAACAAAATGTCTGCCGCCTATCACAAGCGGACATTGTCACGCTGCGCAGCACGACGTCATAGCCGTAACCTGTGTTATTTTTAGAATCAATTTCTCGGACTGTGATTGGTCGGATTGTTTCCGTCATGTGACATTTGTTTACAACGACATCTATAGCCATTCAGCGTTAATCCTTTCTGCATGATAGATGTCGCTGCTGCTACTTTCTTCCGCTATTGTACACGAGATGGCGTTAAAACACTACCAAATTTGACAGATGACATGTGCTTGATTTTTTTTTTGAGAAACAAATGTTTACGGCTTACACACTTTTCCGAACAGTTACCTAAATAATACTTTATATTAGAGCCTGTTCTATGCAATAAATTAGTGTCATAAAAACATTTTCAGATAAGATAATATTTTAAAGCTTTATCGTCGTGTAATGTCAGTAACAGCTTAAATTATAATTTTTTACGCCTTTTATCTCAACGTATGTTTGCGATGCACTTACGATAAGACGTAACACGAAACTTTCATAGTTTTAAGTAGATAGATGTGTACTATCAAAATAAACATTCAGAATTATGTAAATTGATAATGACTCGAATCAAAAGATACCTAGTACATTTTTAAATGTCATGAAACATCTTTATTTCAAATTCAGTAATTATACAATAGTTAGTCAGTAACGTATTATTCTCTTTATTGTCTTGGATGGCGAAGTGATCTATAAAAGTCATTTGGATATAAATTTAAAGCATAACGCTATCCTCTCTAATGAGATATCGATAGTCTTAGCATCGGCCTTTGAAGATGAAATAATTCTCATTTATATCTTGTTTGATGTTATTCCTGTCTTATTGATGTGGATGATGTATCGTGTCTCAACATATTTATGTTAAGAAAAGTTATTTATAACTAACAAAATTTATCAAATTGAATTAATACTGCACTCTCTACCTACCTTAAGTACCTGGCCGAGAAAGAAAGTATTGATGTTGTTAGTCTACGAAATAATATATGTATAATATACATACCTATTTTGATAGCCACTTTCGTATTGTGTGAAGTATACGTGTGTATGAAATAAACAAAGATACTTGAATTTTAATGGGTTTAAATTGCGAATTATATACGAGTTACTTTTTTTTAAAACTCGACGTTTCGAATGCTTTTTTATATGTAGTTTCCAACTAAAACTCATTTTATTTTGTAATAATGTGAATTTTTCCTAGTTGCATGTTACGACTTGTGTAAAGTTCTGTCTTTAGGTTAACAAATGAGTATTGTTCCTCTTCGTTCCTAATATAATCAGGTAAGTATAATCTTAATTTATTAAAGTCTCTCGCAAGCACACACCGATCAACCAACACGAGAGAAAATTGTTTAATAAGTTGTTGTGTTGTGTAAACTAAGTGATGTCATTGTTTTGTCTATGTCGATCTTATTGTCTTTCTCACTATATTTATTTTATTCAGTGTAGAAAGTAAAGTCTCGAGTTCTTTATCGGGGGGTTAGGGCAGACATATTTTGGTGGCTATTGACGATAAGGTAACCCTTTATGCGGTATCCTGGTGAAAGTATCTGAAGAAAGGAGGATAATTCAGGTCATAGATATTACATTAATTAAGAATTATAGTTAAATACATACTATGAAGAATACACGAAAAAAGTTACGATTTTTACTTATTTCTTTATGAGGATTAAAACTCCAAAAAAATTTAAAAAAAAAACTTAGTCGGGCAGGACTTGAACCGGTATTGTCAGCGTTACGTGCTGTTGCTCTAAACACTTGATCTACCCAGTCCCTTAGTTACAGCACGCTGACGATGCCCGGTTTAAGTCCTGTCCGAGTCGATTTTTTTTTCAATCTATTTTCGGGTTTTAATCTATATAGTGCCAGAATGTGCAATAACATGTAAAAATATTAAAGTTTTTGAACGTATTTCTTTTTGTAGTGTTCAGTTGTTTATTTCTATAATATTCTAAACCTACACTTCCAAAATTACTCAATAGTACATTATTTCCTTACTTTGGGAATGAACAATTAAATTATCCTTTATATGGATTGTTAATTTACACGGGTGCAAAGAATAAACCTTTAGACGGACAACTCAAGTATAGGCCCACTTGATTAAGTGATTTCATTGACGACTAATTGACTTCATAGACGACCTATTTATTAAGTACGATTTTTTTCTTTCCTTTTTTATAGCTTCATGATAAAACCTTAACAATTAGAAGTGACTTGTATTATCAAATTTTAAAATGAGAATATAATATTCCTATAGAAAAGCAGTCCGTTATTATAAGTAAATGTGTGAAGATAATTGAAGGCTGTATAAATTAGAAGAACTGTGTTAGTTATCGTCTATACGTACGTCTTGCTTCCGTATCTAAAAATATTTTAGTATAACAAGGAAGTTAGTTCATATTTCTGTAAAAATATCATTTAATTAATGCGACACAGGACAATGCCCAACCTTCATAGTGTCTCGGGCCACAAATAGGCACAAAACTTGTGCCTTATATTTTTGTCCTGTATTTCGATAAACCATTTTGTTCTTTACTTTTGACTCGTGTTATTAAAAGGAGGACTGGGTATCAGTTGTACATTCAACTCAAAATTACCTACACTCTGTAAGCCAGAGCAAAAGTAGCCTCAAGCGTCTCGTTCATAACGTGTGAAAACTGTTTTGTTTTCCCGTGGGAATAGGGTTTTCTAGAAACACAAAGATTGGTCTACGTCTATCCTTTAGCTCAGTAAAACGGTTTTCAGGGGATAATATCTTCTGAATACTGAAGGTACGAAAATTGATCAACTATGTGAAACGAAGACGGAACGTCACTATTTTAGCTTCTCGCCTAAATTATATTGAAGTGACGCCGCTTATTGACATTGCAACATAATATGAGCACAATGATTAGAAACACACCTTAAACTTAAACACTTAACTAAGCATGCTAAAGCCAAACAGTTGAAACCCGCGACGCGGTCTCGACGCACGCGCATGCGATCTTGAAATTTCGAAATTGAAGTGTGGTGCGATTCAGTGAATGCGGTGTGTGATTAATTTAATCGTTGTAGATCGGCTGCGAGATAGGAAATGCAAATAATAAAAAACTGATGTTGTGTACGCACAAATAAATCAAATTTAAACCACATGACTAACGGTCGAAAAGCAACCTCTATTTCTCTTATTAATATAAAATTAAGTCTTATTTCAATTTAATTGTGACTTTAACCTCCTGATTAGGAAAAAATATAATATGTCGTAATATGAATTGTTAAGTTTGTCTTTTGTCTCACGTAATAATCCTTTTTGACTTATATTATCTTGAATTGATTATTATTTAATATTTTGTAGTATGACTAAGAAGATATATCATAGCCATAAACCGAAGCTTATGCATTACTATAATAAATATGTAATATTGATATCCTAACCCGGAATGTTACAATATACCTGCATAGGTTTTTACTTGTCCTTTATTATTATTTATGTTACTAAATGTGTCAAATCTCATTTTCCATTTGGGACACGAAAGTTTATGTTTACCAACAAGTTCTCTCTCCTATTTTCCCAGATTTGAACCCAATAACTCGTACTTCTCGCTATGCAACGCGATACGTTAATCTATTCAGCTACGGAGTCGGTCATGTACAGTAGCACTATCCAAGAAACATTGAGTAATTAATTTAATCCGAACGAAAAACTAAATGTATTTGTAGCTATTTATTATGTTAAGCAACCTTATACAAGGCTGGAAAAACCCATATTTGTCTATTTATGTCTTGTACGAAAAAACGGCTTATATCACTGCATATGTTTGGTAGATATAAGACGTAATAGAAACGAGATACACTTTTTTTCAGCTTAAAGAACTGAAATTGTAATATCTGCCAGTTAACTTAGCAGTTTTGGAGTAGATGTTTCGATTATTTTAAAAGGACATGTTATGGTGTACTGTTAAACTGTGACAGCTATCTTCCTTAATATAAATGTTTAAAGGTAATTTTTTACAGTTTTTCTTAAACTTGTCTATATATACATTATCTCAGCTTAATCTGATTGTAATAAAACCACAAAAAATAAGGTATTTACAAAAAAATCTAATATTTCTATTCCCAGATTCCGCGTAACTAATAGAACATCCGGCTATAACAAAACCATATAACATTCACAAGCTATCAAACCCTTTCCCTTAAATCTATTATTCATATAGCATTCAAATGCATTTGTATGCGCTCCATTCGGCTTCCTCACTCAATCTCGGCGCGTATACGAAAATAGTTGCGCCGGCGCATCGGTTAATTCCGATCCCTTTTATAGATGCGCGGTTATGCGTTGGACATTCCTGCACTGGATTCCGCTGTTCTAATGGTCTAATTGCTTTTTGGTGTTCATGACACCAATGTTAAATGTCACTGTGGTAAACGCGGTCTCCGTGGGTGTAGCGCGGCTTTGTTGTGTTACTCGACTGCGTAAATTGCATATGTTTTTACTATATATCCTATCCTAATCCTAGATTATTATACTTCTATAAGTAGGCCACGAAAGCGATTGTAATATATTCCATAGGAGTAACTTCTCTCATTTTTGTTGTTGTTTACATTATTTTTCTACACACGTAAGCGACCCACGCTTGGTTGTGTAATTTCTGCGTTTGTTAGGCTTCGCGTAGTTAGCCAATACAGTACGTATTTTTTTTATTATTTAATTGCAGAAAATACTCACTTTTTATACCAACGATCAAATACTTGTCACAAAATGAGACCAAAAAAAAGTGGGTTGCGACGATGTTCCATTGTTTGTTTACATTTTCTTTTTTTACTAAAATTATGTCTGTAGATCTTTATAGCAATAGTTAAACTGAGATACAATTAGTACTAAGTCGAGATCAGTATGGTGTGTCACTCAAAGCTAGTGGGCAGTGCGTAGGCGCAATGTTTTCACTTTCGTAGAAAT